TATGAGTTTAAGCTGAACAGTATGTAGGTTTTAAAATGATCTAATCTAAAGGCTTTCCAGCCAGAAAAACAACCTCTTAGGTTATTCCAGGGCACTGGAAATTGCATTTCATGGAAACAATTCATATTGAAACTGAAAGCAGTGAAGAGCTACTTTTATCACAGGCTCATTTCCAAAAAGTCAGCTGCCTTTCTGTAGGAATAATCCTTGAGCCTGATTTTGACAATCTAAATCCATATCAGAGTGTGTAAAAGTGTTCAGACAATTAAAACACTCACCCCGATGTGCTTTGCACACTCTCTTTGCACACATTCTTCCACTGGGGTCCACTTGTATTTCATGGGCAAAAAAATTCATGGAATGTGCAACTGCTGCTTGTTTGGGAACTTGACTAAAACTCCAGAGAGCTACGGGGAATTTAATTTACACTGTATTCATCTGCTTTCCTGTGGTACAATTTACCGTAGAATTTCCAAAACAAAAGTGTCTGGGCATTATTTGCACTCTTAGAGTTGTTCACACACAGCCTCCTTCTTTCTTATAGCTGAATAAATATTGGGATACTATATTATAAAAAAGATAAAAGGAAGGTTTATTGTTTTAACATTTGACCTCGAGTTACCTTTTAAAAATTAGTTTGGGAGAAAGAGGAAGGGAGAGGGAGAGAGAAACTTTGATGTGAAAACGAACCACCCCCCAAATGCGCCGAAACCTGGGATAGAACCTACAACTGGGTATGTGCCCTTTTCGGAAATCAAACCCACAACTCTTCCATCCCTGAGACGTTGCTCCAACAAACTGAGCCCTACTGGTCAGGGGTGACCCCCAGTTCTTGATGGAGAGGAAAATGTGTGTGTTTTCAAAATTCATTAATGTCTGTTGAAGAAGAGGGGAGAATACAGGGATGTATCAGCAGAAACCTCAGCAATAAAAAATGGTGCCCAGTGCTTTGTTAGGAAAGTTTAATTGCTCCTAAGAGCAAGGTAGTGAGTTAAGGATAGACTATGGTAGGGAGAGGAAAGAGGAACCAGCAAGGTAAAAAGGGGCTGGGCTTCGGTGGGTTGAAGAGTTCATGGTTCCCTTCAAAACCATGATGGGCAAAGAAATCATAAGGCAAAAGATGTCCTTTTCCGTTTTCAGTAAAATCTATTACACTCACGTAAGCTTTTTGGATAGTCTTGCATTTGGCAATGAGGTTATAGGAGGTGATATATGCAGTTCTATGTCTGATTTCAGTACCATCCAGGAGAGGTCATTTCTGCAAAAGTCATGCTGTGAGGAATGAGACAGTGACACAGCATGGTCTCGGCTAGTCCCTGAGATTCCCCAAATGTCACAGGAAATAATGGGAATCATTCCTTTGTCTGCTTTGCCCTTTGGAATGGCAGGTAATTGGAGACATATGTTTGTATTAGATAAATGGGCTTTTATTCTAATGAGTAACCTAAGCAGAATGAAGTTCAACGTGAAGTAGCGAACAGGAGCTTTGAGAGTGGATTCCTAGGAAAGAGATTGGAGGTTCAGCCACATATTCTTGGGCTGTTCCAAGTTCTTTACTATGTCTCATGTGTTCATGTTAGGGGCAGAAATAGAGTATAAGAAATTAAGTTAAGAAATTTTAATCATGCTCCATTAACTATGTTTGCTCTTTTTTGATTAGAGAAAACACATTCTAACCTTGCTGAAAGTTGTATGCCCTGGGACATGGGAGCTAACATGGGAATGCAGTCTGTCCTCCTTCTGAGAACTGCCTATCATTATGGAAAGATTTACGTCATAGCTCCTAGTCCTGGAGGCACCTGCTCTCTTCTGAGAACTGCCTATCATTATGGAAAGATTTACAACGTCATAGCTCCTAGTCCTGGAGGCACCTGCTCTTTACAACCCTCAGCTCCTATTACCAGTAATCTGGTCCTGCTCAGGGTATCCAGAGGTGCACCCTCTCTGTGATTCCCCTCCAGCCTGCATGACTTGGAACCTGTAATGATTATCCCACACCTACTTTCCCATACTTGTAATTCCTACTTCCCCACGTAATCTTGTCCTTCTACCCAATATAAGTAGTTTGCTTATGGTGGGGTGGAGGGCAGATTTTTGTGGCTGCTCTCCCATACTGCCAGCATTATTGGAATAAAAGCTCATATATGATTCAATCCTGCCTCTGCTTAATTGGCTGAAATAGTGACAGGCAGCTGGACCCCTGGGTTGTCCAGTTATAAAGGGACTGGAGTCTAAATAACTAAAGTCAGCCACTGAGCCCTCCACACCTACTTGACTGCCTCCAATTACAATACTGGATATCAAGGCTTGGGTGGGCCGCCCCGGTTGGCAATATCCCATATATGTTGTCACACGTGATTTCAGAGAGAACTAGATACTGTTCTGGGAGAAGACAATTGGAAGTCTGTGCCTGGCCTTTCCTGGACCTCAAGCTATTCCCCTTTTGCTTTGGTTGGCTTTAACTTCTAGCCTTTCACTGTAATGAACTGTTGTTCCTCTATGAATAAAACTTTTTTCAAGAGTTCTGAGTGTAATTTTGGAAATCATTGAACTGGAGGGCTGGTCTTGGGGACTCTTGAGTCCAGTTGTTCCTTAAAATGGGATTTTCTGGAGTAACTCTGACTCACTGAAATATGGCAAAAGCTGGTTTGGGAAAAAGAAGAAGTGGTAGTGTTAGGATGGTCTCCTTGTGCACCAACTGCGTAGGCATTTAGTCTTCTTGATCTTTGTATAACCATTTAATAGGACTTTAGCTACAACGATCAAAAATATGAAATAGATCCATTGTCTCTTGAATGTATCAGATTTGCCCTAATATGAAATATACATTGCGGAAAGCCCAAAAGTTGTATTTGTTTCTAGATCTGTCTGCATCAACCTAAAAGGCACTGAAGGAAACTCTTTCTTTGATCAACATGGAGCTTGATAATTCATTTTCCCTACAGGACCAGCATTCTATTATATTTCATTTGTTTGGGATTGCAACCTCTATTGGGATTGAGAATTAATTAGCATCATACTTATATTACCTCTCAAAGAGCATCATTTCAATGACACTTTACAGGGATAGTTTACAGGCCTCACCTATTAACCAGCTCCCCAGCCACAGTGAGGAGATGATGAGGGAATCTTAATAACGTACAAATCATGGATATTCCCAGTATCCAACTTCACACATATGGAAATATTGGATGACCTTGTGAAAATGTATTCTAAGGTAGTAGAGAAGTAGACACACATGCTTAGCTGCTGATAAATACAAAATCCCAACTCTTGGGATAATTGGAGATTTTAAAGAGTGAACTCTCTTTTTTGTAATTCCAAGAAGAACTGCTTACTGAAGGATTTAGAAAGAAATCTGAGAAATAAAGTAACATATATCAACTAAAAAAAGCAAGAGATTGAAAGAACTAATGAAATGAAAGCTTATTGTCACCAAAGTCCCTTGATGAAAGTGGCAGTGTGTTCACTGTGGGACTACACGGTACTGCTAAGATAGTTGGTGTACTGAGCCCAAAAATGAAATAGGCTTTAGAATTACTGTTAATAAATTATAAAATGAAGCTTCTTCTGTTTTAATAGTTTAGTGTTGTGGCTCAATTTTAAAATATATATGTCATGTTTTCTTTATTCAATGGAAATTTTAAAAGTAAACCATAATTTCTAAAAATTCTCAGGGACTGTAATACAGAAAACAAATTATATGTTGATTGAAATAATTAATTTGTAAAAATGGGAAACAAGTTAGAAAATGTAATGAAAGACAAACCAAATTTACAATATCATCAAACAAATCGGATATTTTATTTATTTTTATTAAATATATATTCTTTTATTTCAGAGAAAAAGGGAGAGGGAGAGAGAAACATCAATGATGAGAGAGCATCATTAATCAGCTGCTTCGATCCAGCCTGCAACCCAGGCATGTGCCCTTGACTGAAACCAAACCCGGGACCCTTCAGTCTGTAGGCCGATTCTCTATCCACTGAGCCAAACCAGCTAGGGCCAAATAAAATATCTAGAATAAAATTACGAAGGTGTAAGTGAGATTCATATGAACTATTAAAATGTGTCCAAAAGAAACAAAAAAGTGTAAAAATGTCTATGCTAATAAAAGGGTAGTATGCTAATTGGGGCAGACATCTTCCAGACGACCATTGGGACGTCCTTCCGGACAAAGCTGCAGTGGCTGCCTAAGGCTCAGGCAAGCTGCGGATGGCAGCTGCCACTGCCCAGGGTCAGCCCAAGGCTCAGGTAAGCCTCGGATGGCCTAAACCAGCAGTTGGACATCCGCTGAGGGGTCCTAGATTGGAGAGGGTGCAGGCCGGGCTGAGGGACCCCCCCCCCACACACACAAACAAATTTCATGCACCAGGCCTCTAGTATAGATATAAAAATGTTAATCTTTATAAATGAATGAATACATTTGATATGATTCAAATAAATATGGCAAAAATACTTTTTGGAAGTAGAAATACTATTTAAACTATATATATGTATATATATATACTAAAAGCAAGAGTTTCCAATGCAATTTTGAAACAAAGATGATAAATGTGGAGGGACTCAACAGTAATCATATGATAAAACATTTAAAAAAATTAACACAATGGTACTGACATCTAAACATTTAAACAGCAATCAAAGACTTGAAAATTATAAGAGGGCACAAATTCACCTGAAAATTTAGTACATGATTTGGTATTTAGCACTAGTGAAGAATTATGAAATATTCAGTAAATAGTATTTGGATTACAGGTAACCATTTGAAAAATATAAAGTTGGAGATTTTCTTATATCTACATAAATTTCAGATGGATCAAAGTGAAATATGAAAAATTGAACTAAAAACTTAGATAAAATACTTGAGCTTTTTAAAAAAGAGTTTTGTATAAAGAGGTCACTTATAAGTGTGATAAGAAAAAAGACATAAAAGATTTAATAAATTCACTTATATAAAATAATGAAATTCTTTTTAAAAATATGTAAGCCCTGGTTGGGTGACTCAGTTGGTTGGAACATCTATCTGTCCACCAAATGTTGTGGGTTCGATCTCTGGTGGCATAGAGGAAGCAGCCGATTGGTGTTTCTCTCACACATCAATGTTTCTCTCTCTCTCTCTTTTCCTCTCTCTAAAATCAATAAACATATTATTGGGTGAGGATTAAAAATTAGATAGATATAGGTATAGATGCAGATATAGATATAGATAGATAGCCTAGCTGGTGTGGCTCAGTGTTTGAGCATCAACCTATCAGCCAAGACGTCCCTGGTTTGATTCCTGGTCAGGTCACGTGCAGGAGGCAGCTGATCAATGTCTCTCTCATCAATGTTTCTATTTCTCTATCCTTCTCCCTTCCTCTCTCTCTAAAATAAAAACATATTAAAAAACCTCTAATTAAAAAAGAAGTGATAGCTGCTATTATATATACGCATACACACACACTCATACACACAAAACACACACAAAAAGATGAATGGCAAGTGAAGAAAACATTTGCCATTTAATCAGACAAAGAAATAATTTCTTTATGCTATAAGGAGCCCTTTACATATAAGTGAGAAAATAGCAATGACCATATTAAAAAACTGGGCAAATATAATACACAAAAATAAAGATGTTTCTTTACACTTACTGATAATAAGGAGATGTGCAAGTTAAAACTATGAGTTACCTGTTTCACTTCTAATATTAGCAAAAAATAAAACATTTGCTAGTACAATGGGTTGTCAAGGGTTTGGGGAATCTTTCATATTCCTAGTGACAGTGAAAATTGTACAATTACATATCAACAATTTAAATGCACCTAAAGCTCTGACCCAGCAAGTCCACATGCAGGAATCTATCTTATGGATATATTTGCTCTAGAGAAAGATGACATATGTACTAGGATGTTCCAGGATGTTAGTTGCAGTGTTATTGAAACCGCAAATTGTTGAAACAACTCTAAAGTCATCTGTCAGGAACTAGTAATGTAAACCATAGGATATATGTATAGAACAATACTCCACTGTCACTAAAATAAAGAGGGGAAATACTATTTTTACTAATAGGAGTAAATTTCTAAAATTTATCATAAAGTGAAAAAAAAGATTTAGAAACTATATCATTTAAATTATCACAAGGAAAAAATAATAATAATTTGTCCCAGTTCCAACCTGCTATTTTCATGAAGTTTTGCCTACTTATTTGCTCACCAGAATAAAATACTTTTTTTGGTCTCTGCAAATCTATCAAAAGCCCAGCTTCTGTCCAAACCACCAGGACCAATACAACTGCTCTTTCTGATGGGGAAAATGAGACATTTTGGGGGGCTAGCAATCTGAATCTGTGCCAGTAACCTAATGAACATTCCTGTTAGCCTATAGTCTAGTCACTGCCCCTTCTTTAATTATCTGGTCCTGCAAGACCTGTTTACCTAAGTACTATTCCCATTTTAGAAAGGCCATAAACCATGAACAATACACAACCCCCAGACGCCAGGCCAGGCCTTTAGATGTGGTCTCACGGCCCCTACTCCAATACACAGGGCTTTTTGCAAAGCCCATGAAAGGCCCAGAAGTCCCATCCCATATTTGGGGGACAAAGAAACAAAAGCGGATAAAGGGAAAGCTTCCTCCATATTGGCTTGCTCAGGATTTGGAGAGAAACAGTCTCCCCTGAATCACATGTGAAACGTTTGGAAATAAATGGGTTTTTCCTGTGCCTCTGGTACTCCTGCGTATTTTTCAGTTGCCTGGTAAATTCTGTAACAATTCCAAGCCACCTTTCCTATCTGACCTACCTTAATATAAAAGACATAAATATACCCAGTTATGTCCTAATGGGAGAGAGAGAGTTCTGGTTGTAGTCAGTGCTTATTAACTACTTGTCTGACCACTAAGTACCTGTTGATTTGCAATAGTGAGAAAAAAGATTTTCTTTTTTAAAATGGAAAATATTTCATTATATATGTGTACTTTTATGTTGAAAAAATAACACTCATTGAAAATAAATTCATAATGCAC